GCTCCCCCGCGCCGCGGCGCCGCGGGCGCCGCCGGCGCCGCCTGCGGCCGCCCCCCGGGCCCCCCTGCGCTGCGGGCGCCGCGGGCGCCGCGGGCGCCCGCTGGCGCCGCTGGCGCCGCGGGCGCCGCTGGCGCCGCGGGCGCCGCGGGAGCCGCGGCCGCCGCCTGCGGCCGCGGCCGCCGGGCTCCCTGCGCCGCGGGCGCCGCGGGCACCGCGGGCGCCGCTGGCGACGCCGGCACCGCGGGCGCAGCTGGAGCCGCGGCCGCCGCTTGCGGCCGCCCCCCCGGGCCCTCCTGCGCCACGGGCGCCGCGGGCGCCGCGGGCGCCGCTGGCGACGCCCGCGCCGCGGGCGCAGCTGGAGCCGCGGCCGCCGCCTGCGGCCGCCCCCCCGAGCTCCCCTGCGTCACGGGCGCCGCGGGCGCCGCGGGCGCCGCTGGCGCCGACGGCGCCGCGGGCGCAGCTGGTGCCGCGGCCGCTGTCTGCGGCCGCCCCCTTGGGCTCCCCTGCGCCGCGGGCGCCGCGGGCGCCGCGGGCGCCGCGAGCGCCGCGGGCGCCGCCGGCGCCGCTGGCGCCGCGGGCGCAGCGGGAGCCGCGGCCGCCGCCCGCGGCCCCTCCCCCGGGCTTCCCTGCGCCGCGGGCGCCGCTGGCGCCGCTGGCCCCGCCAGCACCGCGGCCGCAGCTGGAGCCGCGGACGCCGCCCGCGGCCGCCAGCCCCGCAGCCAGCCCGACAGCCCGCCCTCAACAGCAGCAACAGCAGGGCACCCGTGGAAGCCGGCAGCAGCAGCAGCAGCAGCAGCAGCAGCAGCAGCAGCAGCAGCAGCAGCAGCAGCAGCAGCAACAGGCACCCAGCGGGCCGACGCAGCAGCAGGGCTGCAGCTGCAGCAACAGCAGCCTCACACGTGTCAATACAGCTTGCAGCCTTCAGCTCCCTCCCTGGGTTTTACTGGACGTTCCCTGGGTCTTCTCGGCACACGATGGGGCCTAGGAACAACCAAGGTCCCACCCGTCGCTGGCCCTTGTGCCTGCCACACAGTGAGGACGGCCCGCCAGTCAGGCTGGGCTCTCGTGTCTTCCTTGCTCGGTACTGTCCCTGGATGCGTTGGGCCTTCTTCAACGGTGGTTGGCGCTACTGGTGCGAGAGACAACTGGCAGAGTGGCTGGAGCTCTGGCTGGCGCGACGACCAGTGGCAGTCAGGAGGCAAGCGTGGTGGCGGCAGGCCAGACGATCGTGGCGAGAAGAAACAACGGTGGGGCGACTGAGCCCCCCCCCCATCCCCAAGAGTTTCAGGTGCAGCGTCCGATTTCCACACTCTGTGCAGCCTTCAACAACCTCCCTGGGTTACGTTTCATATACTCGTGTGGCGGCCTTCTGCCGCCCTCCCTGGTACACGCACTTCCTGCCTTTGGACCCAAGTGCGTTTACCAGCAATACCGTCTGCATGACAGCGCTGGGGCGTGTTGCGTGCAGGCCATAGTTGGCCCCTGGCCCCGCTGTAGTTGTTTTCACCTCTGGCCCTGTCGGACTTCGTCCCCCGGCCTCGCGGCTCTGTGACCGACGCAAAGATGGCTTCGCCTCGTCACTGTCCAGAACCGCACTCACACTCCCTGGGCTTCTTCGTGACCGCTGGCTGTTGCTTGGGCTGCAGCTGGTAAGCGGCAGCACAGCTTTCCCAGAGCGCCATCGTCTTACACTTCACTCTGGTACGCCAGGGTACCAAGGATAGGCGGCTCTGTGTATGCTCGTCACGTTAGATGCTCCCTGGTACGCGTCCCTGCTCTTATCTCCGGTTGGCAGTCGCCTGCGACTTGTGCCTGGTAGAGGATTGGGACAGTTGTACCTTCCGCATAGCGTCACATCATGTTACCTGATGGCTCGCTTGCGAACGCATCTATTCGAGGTTGTCTCCTGGGCCTGACGTGCTTCGTTCGGTTACAGACACCACGAATTTCGCGCCTTTTGGCTGCGTTGGTGCGTACTCTGAAGCTGCGACGGTTCGCTGGCGCTGTCAGAGTCCAACCTCTCCTACGGTATGCAGTCTGGCGACAGCTTGCGTGTCTCTCGGTCGCTTCTGCTTGAGCATGGCAGACACCCTGGGACCCCTTGGTACGCCATTCCCGCGCCGAGGTTGGCAGACTCCCTACTGTTCAGATAGTGTCTCAAGCGGCGTACTGCTTGGCTATGGCCTCTGACATCGCGCCACTTTGGCAGCGTAATTACTGCTCCCTGGGTGCTGGTCCCTGGTCGTCAGACTCCCTGGGTTGCAGCACCCTTGCACCCGCCGCCCCGGCGCCGGCCGCGGCCCGCGCTCGCTTCCGGCCAATTAGCTTCGGCCGCAGCCCGACCGTTACTCGCCGCCGCTGGCGTTTCCGCCCGCGGCTGTAAAAAAAAGTTATCCCAGTGCGACCCTACCTAGGAGTTGGAACCCCTAGGAAAGCAGCATTAGTAGTAACAGTAACGCTAAGCTAAAGCTAAGCTAAAGCTAAGCTAACGCTAAACCACAGCTAAGCTAAAGCTAAGCTAAAGCTGATCTAAAGCTAAGCTAAAACTAAAGCTAAGCTAAAGCTATGCTAAAGCTAAGCTACAGCTGTGCTAAATCTGATCAACAGCTAAGCTAAAGCTAAGCTACAGCTAAGCTAAATATAAGCTAAATCTAAGCTAAAGCTAAGCTACAGCTAAGCTAAAGCTAAGCCACAGCTAAGCTAAAGCTAAGCTAAAGCTAAGCTAAAGCTAAGCTAAAGCTAAGCTAAAGCTGAGCTAAAGCTAAGCTAAAGCTGAGCAGCAGCTAAGCTAAAGCTAAGCTACATCTAAGCTACAGCTAACTATAAAGCTAAAGCTAAAGCTAAGCTAAAGCTAAGCTAAATCTAAGCTAAAGCTAAAGCTAAAGCTAAGCTACAGCTAAGCTAAAGCTAAGCTAAAGCTAAGCTAAAGCTAAGCTAAAGCTAAGCTAAACGCTAAGCGAAAAGCTAAGCGAAACGCTAAGCTAAAGCTAAGCTGCAGCTGAGCTAAAGCCAAGCTAAAGCTAAGCTAAAGCTATAGCTAAAGCTAAAGCTAAAGCTAAAGCTCCCAGGGGACTGGGGGGAACCGCGGGGCGGGGACTGGGGGAACCGCCCGGGGCGTGTAGCACTGCCCTGCCCCTTTAAGCTAGAGAGTAAGAACCCTTCTAGGCAGAGCCTAGGTAGGGGAAAAAAAAGCATCCCCGCAAGTCGCCCCCAGCCTGCAGCTCCTCCCGCGCAGTCAGCCGCTGCTGTATGAGTGGGCAGGCCGGCTTGCGGCGCGTCTAGCTGCTAATTAGGCCACTGTCGTGACCCGTAGCGCTCCTGACTCCGCTTGCGCCTTCGCTTGCGGACGCGACCGAAAAAAGCATCCCCGCAAGCCCAGTGCGCTTCTCAACTTTGGCGGGAAGGAGGGTCGTCACACGTGCCCCTCCAGTTTACAGGGCCTGGCCCTCGCCGTTCGAAATCGGATCGCCTCGCCCAGCTCTGGCTGGCCCCGGCCGATGCCAATGACGCGAGCCACCTCGAATCCAATCGGAATCGCGGGCCGGGTCCGCGAATCGAATCGCGAGCAGCAGGCCCTGGCGGGAGAGGATGAAGGGGACGGCTCCCTCCCCGGGGCGTCGCCCCGCGGTGGGGAGGCGGAGGCAGCTGACCTCGAGGGCAAACCCCCTGAGGGCGACTGCCCTCCAGAGAGGCCACAGATCGGACCCAGGCTGCCTCCCCACCATCACGAGGGAGATGGATGGGAGCATACAGCTGGAGCTCGACCACAAGAAACCTTCCACAAGAAACGCAACCAGGAGGCCCCGGGAGGTCCAGTGATTTTCTGGTATGGGATCGCCACGCGGTCCATCGCAAGTCCATCGAAACCCGAGCAACCCAGGGCACCCCGGAGACAAGTAGGGGGCACCTTGGCATGGGTCTCCACGGTCTGAATTTCGAGACGGCCCTCCCCCAATCAATAGACGCCTCCCAGATGGGCTCCACGCAGAAGGGGTCGGAGGATCGCGCCGCATCGTCGATGCATCAGCAGTAGCTCGCCGAGGCATCGGCGACGTCGGCGATGCGTCGATGCCGTCGGCGTGGAGAAACTCGGGCCCCACATCGGGCTGCAGCGCTGATGCATCGCCGCTGCCTCGGCGATGCGGCGCGATCTGCCGACCCCGTCTGCCCGGACCCCCTCCTGGTAAGAGGCGCAGAGTCAACGGCCAGAGCGGGGCACCCCTCGCAGGACCATCCATGAGCCTGTGCCGTGGTCCTGACTGAGCTACTATGAAGGGGCCCTGGGACACACAAATAAATACACAAAAAACGATTCCCCATACTTGTCCCATATTTTCTGGATTTTTGTCTTCCCCCCAATTCCCATATTTCCTAATGTTTCTTGGGGATCGACGATTAATTGTGTCTGTGTTTTGTTCCCCTCCTGATACTAGGACCGGATGTTATCCTTGGAGGCGCGCGTCCGACCCAAACATGTAGTACACCCATCTCGGAGCAGATCGCTTCCCGAGCGGTGTGGCCAGAAAGCGCCCGCCCCGACGCGTATACCATAAGCTTTCTCGGTGCGCGCATCGCCCCTGGGAGTAGTATAAGTATGTTGGGGTGACGCCGAGCCCCCCCCCCCCCCGCAGCCCCGAGACCGCCAGAATTATCCGAGGCGGCGCGGTGCTCTTCCGCTTTCGGCGCGCCAGCCGGGGAGACTTCCGCACCGCAGTGATTGGAGAAGTCTCCACCACCACCACCATACGTAGGGTCGGGGGAGGAGGGGTGATGGGGAGGTCCTCCTATTCCTCCTCCTCCTCCTCCTCCTCCTCCTCCGTCTCCTCCTCCTCCTCCTCCCTCTCCTGCCTATTGTAGTGGTGGTGGTGGAAAGTCGGCCCGTCGCGCAGGGCAAATCTCTCGTCGTGCAAGCCGGGGGCTCCGAGGTCCGCACTCTATGCCAAGACCTCCAGGCCCCCCCCCCCCTTTCCGCTGCCCCGCCATTCTCGTCCACCCGCGACCCGTGCACCCCCATCTTCTGGCCCTGCCCACTCGGCCGAAGACTCGTCGGGTGCTGGCGTGCCAGGCCGACCCGACTCCACTCCGACCCTCCTGTACAGCTCCAAGAGCCACAGGAACAAGGTGGACTGGCCCTGGCGGTCCTTGGCGGCGCGCACAAGGGGGCGGAGGGAGGGGGGGGGAGGGCTTCTTAGAAGGAGGCTGCTTCTTAGAAGGCGCCGGCCTTGGTTCAATTGATAAGGCCCGCGCCTTCGAAGAAGCAGGGGTGTTTCTATGAAGCCCTCCCCCCTCCCCCCACCCCCCTCTGCGCGTGGCTGAGGTCCTTCAAGTATGCGAACTGGTCCTCCGTGAGCCAAGCGTAGAAACTCGCGTCTCCTGGGAACATGTAGACCTCCTCAGGGTCTGGAAAGCTCAGCATCTCCACGGGTTTCTGCCTCGCTCTCTGTGTCTTCGCTCGGATGTCGACATCTCTCGACCTGGTGCTCACCCTCCGGACCAGCACCAGGTCCGCGAGGTCCACCCGTGGCGCCTGGAACTGGTCGAGACTCCTGCAGCTCGGCGGACGACTGCCGCTGGCGTCCCCGTCCCCTTCTGGCTCATGCCACACTGCGGACACGACCGTGTGGACATACCGCGTCGGCACGCCAAACTTCCGAGAGTTGTCTTGCTCGCTCTGCCTCTCCACCCTGACCACCTCGATTTGGGAGGGCTTCGGGGAGTGCGCAGAGAGCCCCCCCAGGAAATCCCGGCTGGCTTCTTCAACAGGCCTTACGAGTAGATCTGGGCGGCCTTACCAAACTTTACGAGTAGACTTAAGTCGGGCCTGTCCCCCTACAGGGGGATTTTCGACGAAAAATAATACATGCCCCCCAAATAATCAAAAACTAATCAAACAATAGTCTGGGGACTTTTTTTTGGGTGTATTTTTGTTGTTGCCTTTTTGGCATATTTGTGATGTATGTTATATTTTTCGTCGAAATCCCCCTGTAGGGGGACACGCCCGACATAAGAGCAGACCAGGAGCGCCCCAGTGGCGCCGCCGGAGGCGTCGTCAGAGAGTTGAGACCGTCCCCGGGTGGCCTACTGAAGCCAGGGTCCTTGCCGTCGCTCGGACGTCCATTTCCTGTGCATTTTTCGGTTTCGTGCGTGTTTGTTTTGCTCGATGGTCCAGGATGGTCCTCGATGGTTCTCGCCGAGAAAGACTGCACACGTCCGAGCGATGCCAAGGGTCTGTCTGCGCTCAGCCTGAAGTCTTTCCTGGGCGACTCGGGGTCGATGACTCTCACCTTGAGCTCATCCCCCCTCGCGTTGTCCTTTCGTTTTTCTGGGCCATAGCTCGGCTCTCCCGCGGCCGTTCGGGACGATCCTGGCACTTGTGGAGCGCTCTCGGCAAGGCGCAGTTGCTGGAACGCATCACGAGGCTGGAAAGCCGCAGAGAAGTCACGAAAACGCAGCAAAAGTTCGAGCCTCAAGCCTAAAATTGCCCCTGAACCTCGATGCCGTCGGCCAGCGCCTTGAGCTTTCTCTCCAGCAACCGCTGCAAATAGCCGTCGGGGTGCTCCCCCGCCTCCGGCCTGCCTCCAGGCAACTTGCAGGTCGCCTCCTGGCCACCGTCCGCCCTAGTGACGAGCCTCATGCGGACGAAGACCCGCTTGTCCTGGAGGATTTTCCCCATTGTTCACACAACCACGATGTAACGAGCCTGCATCCCCTGAGCTTGTCACTTCAATGTGCAGCGGAAAGATTGTGAACAGGAGAGGAGGCGGAGGAGGAGGAGGAGGAGGAGGAAGAGGGGGAGGAGGAGGAGGAGGAGGAGGAGGAGGAGGAGGAGGAGGAGGAGGAGGAGGAACCCACGCCTCGAAGAGCGTCCTCCGTCCGCCACCTCAGGCGCAGCTGGCGGCGGGGCCTCTCAGGAGCGTGGAGTCGCGGACGCCGTGCTCCTCGTAGAAGTCGTCGATGAAGCCGTCGCCGTCGATGAAGCCGGGCACAAGAACGGCGGTGCCGCCGGTGGCTGGCTGCACGGTGTGGGCCAGCGTGCGCTGGCCCTTCTTAAGTAGTGCAGCAGCCATGCCTGGATCACCTCCCGCGGATTCGGCCGCCATGCTCCTCGTAGAAGTCGTCGATGAAGCCGTCGCCGTCGATGGACGGCACAGTAACGGCGGTGCCGCCGGTGGCTGACTGCACGTGTGGGCCAGCATGCGCTGGCCCTTCTTTTGAGAGGTGGAGAAACGGCCCTACCCTGGGTTACAAAGGCGTGGTCTGTAAACCTCCCGGGAGCCCCCAGAGCCTAGAGCCGCCAGGACGCGGCACAGCATGCAGGGTTTACCCTGTCAGCCCACAGGAGTTTGTAGCGCACAGCGCCTCGTAAACCAGGGTAGGGGCGTAATTTATGCCCTTGATTCATGAAGTAGTGCAGCAGCCATGCCTGGATCACCTCCCGCGGTCGGCCGCTTGTCCGCCCGCCCAACCCAGCACAACGCCAGGAACATTGACAGTCGTTGGAGTCACGAAAGCAGCCAGCGCAGCCGAGGCAGCAGAGGGCGCCGCCGACGCCTCGCCCGCGAGCCCCAACACACCGTCGGGAGTGAAGTGCGAGTGCGGGGTGGTCATCTCATTGGTGTCGATGTCGGTGGCTGGGGCCATGCGCCGCAGTCCACGCCATCCCGCACTTCATGCTGGTCGTGGGGCCCGTCAGGACGATCGCCGACTTTAGCGGCAACCATCAGCCCTGGGAGCTCGTCAGGACTGCGCCCTTCACCACCACCCCCTTCATGTCCGCGGAGAAGCTCCGCATGCAGATCATCCGGGTCTGACCCAAGCTGATCCTCAGACGCTGCAAGAAGAAGGTCTCCGTAACAGCAGAGCAGCTGGAGCTGGCGATCTGAGGACCGCCGCGTGTAGAGGCCCCCACGTCGCTGCTGGGGCTCAAACTTGATGCAGATGAGCCGAAAACGCTGCCTCAGTTCTGCTCTGTTTCATCGATCTCACCCGCTTTCCATGATCCTGCGTGAGGGAGTACATCGTGTCTAGGTGCTCGATGTCCGCTCGACGTCACAGCGGGCGAAGATCGGAGGAATGCTGATGTTCGGTCTCCTCATCATGAACCGCACGAGCCACGCGAAGTGCATCTTTGGCCACCGCGCTGCAAGCGAGCCTAACATCGCGCACGTCGTCACCTGGCGTGGTTGGTTTCGGGGACATGACCCACCGCAGTCGGGTCGCCACTGCGGGAGAGACCTCTTCATCTTCAGCGACAACAACAAGAAGCCCTTCAGGGTGTGAGGCAGCGGGGAGAGCCCCCCGCCCCCGTCGGCCCACCAGCCGGCACAAAAGGCGCCCCTGTCTTCAACACCTTCAAGACCGGGTGGTTCGTTTCCGTGCGAGGCCGCGGGAAGGGCCCCCGCCTCCGCCTGATTCGCAGCTGACATGAGAGAACCAGCGCGCCCTGCAGCGCCATGGGCAGGAAGACGAACATCATGTGAGGCCGCGGGGATGCCCCCTGCCTCCGTCGGAAGTCCAACCGCCATACCAGGACATGCCGGCAACCAGGCAGCCCGCGAGCGCAGAGTTCGACGCAGTCTCCGACGACTTGCCAGCATCAGCACCACACGCGCCCACAGAGAGAATGGCGGCTCCGCCAAGAGAGCCGTCAGGGTAAATGGCTCCAAGTCCTGACTCCGCCGCCATCAGCCGATCAAAATCGCCATCCGCGTCGCTGCCATCCGAGTCGTCCACCACCGCAGCCATGCGAGATGGAGCCATTTTTGGAGGGGGGCCCAGACGACGCCGCAGTAGGGTCAGATGGGGCGTCCTCGCAGCCCGCTTGTCACCGCCTCATGATCTTTGGAACTTGCGCGACATTCAACTGTCGCCCGTTCGCCCTCTACCTCTGTAGCGCCCACGAATTCAATGCCCGCGTCGGCTGGGACAGGGTGCCCGAGAAAATCCACGCTTCCATTATCGTCGCCAGGCGCGTAGGATAGCCGCCGTCAGGTGTACAAGGCGCGGGATCAATCTGTAGGTGTGGCAGAAGGTGATGATGGGGCTAGGGAGAAAGCTCAGGGCTGGCGTGGAGGGTCCGGTGAGATGCTTTGAAGTTCAACTGCTCGTTGGTGGCCATTTTGGCGATGTCTGCAACCCACGCTCTTTGCCAAATATGTGCAAGAGCTCGTTGGCGAAGAGCGTGTTTCGATTGCCGTCGCGCAAAGGCCAAGGCGACCTTGGGTGCATCCCCATCCGTTCGCGAGGGATAGCAGGGAGTACCACCCACTCATGCACATCTCGAGAACTACGCTCAACCTCTCTGTCGGGCAAGTCGGCGCCCCAGGGGCGTCCCGTGGAGATTAGCGGGGCAAGGCCTGAAGATTTGAATGCCGAAACAGGTCCATCTCATGTGGGACGCGCCATTCCATCCACCGTTGGAAGTCACTGCACTCGAGGTTGACCAGCGAGGCATGGATCCAGTTCTGCATCCAACTAGAAATGCGGTCTGCCAAATCTCAGCGACAAGCCCCGAGCTGCGGAGGCAGAGGCAGCCATATTCCAGCAATGCGACGCGCCCCCGTGCGTGGGGACGACAAACCATTGAGGCCATTCCCTGGGTTCCCAGGAATCCGAGGCACTGGCGTACACGTGGGTCTTGAGCCTGAACACGACAACGGGACTTACGGTCTAACACTTGGAACATCACCACTACCACCAACTTCACCAAAACAAGACGGAGGGCGACGCTGTGATCCGCGAAACGGCGGCGCACGGACCAGGGAGTCCAACTCCTGGATTTGCGTTCTGGCCCTCGCTCCACGATGTCGCCCCCCCCCCCCCCCCCCGGCGCTGTCAATGTCCAAGGTGAGCTCGTCGCAAAGGCGGTGCGCATGCTCAGCCCTGCCTTGCCCCTCGCCCTCGATGGTTGGAAGTAGCCTCCTTCCCATGATCGTAATCCGATCGGGTTGGTCAGCCATCGTGAGCTCCCACTTCTGCGAAGACATGCTGCCTCTGCTGCGATGCCACTGTTGCATCGCGAGAAGCTCCCCGCCACGGACGCGCAGCGCAAGCAGCCGCACGCGGTCGCAACCAGGCCCGGGTCCAGCAAGATGGGCGGCCAAGGTCGCGCGTTCCACCGATGAGTTGCGCCGCCCAACGTGGCGCGCCGCCGAGCTGTGGGAGAGGCGCCCGTTAGCGGTGGCGCCCGCGTTCGTACGTAGCCCGCCGAATATCCTGCATCTGAAGATGCCGACCAAGAAATCAATGCGCCACCTCATCCTATCCTCGAAGCCGAAGGGGCCCAGGACTTCCAACGGCATCGAGGGTCGCCAATTTCGCGCCCAAGACCCATCAACGCGTAGGAGGCGCTCATGCAGCCGTTCGTGCACCGCGCTACCAGCACCCAGTGGGGCGTCAGCAGAGAAACGCGCCTCGCGAGCCGCCAATGGGAACCGAACGTGGCGCGGAAAACCATCATGCAGGGCGTGCCGACCGATCGGCAACCAGGCCATGAGGCCGACCTGCGGCAAGCCGTAATCGTGCGCGTTGGTGTCAAATCTCCCTTCGCTGTACTCGACGATGTAGGGAAATCGCGTCGGGCCGCGCGATCCCGCCTCGAAGTAGGGCGAGCCAAAGCACGCGCGCGAAGAGCTCCGCGCGCAGCATTGAGAAAGACGTAAGGCGGCAAAGTCGGATTGGCTAAGTTCGCGGTGGATGATGGCGGCTAACTGCGCGTTCAGCAGGTCGTCGTCAACGGCCCCTCGAAGCCTCGGGCACAGCAGCGCGTCAGATGGGCGCAGTAGCCGTCCACCAGACTTGGCCGCAGCAGTGCCCCACGCGAGGTTCCGACATCCCCAGTGGTGCCCAATCTCGTCGTTGCAGCCTTCGCTTCCACATGCGCAGTTGCGCTGTCCAGTAGGTGTAGAAATCCAAGCTGACGCGGGCCATCCACCAGCGAGTCCGCGGCGCGCGCTCGAAGCCGAGGCCATTGGAAAACAGCGCGACTTCTTCTGCGGCTTTCCCTGTTGAGGCTTAACGAATTCATCGCGTTTCGGCGGGAACGGTTCCGCCCGCCTCTTGGTGATCGCGTCGGTTACGGGAGACTCTGAAACATGGTGGGAGGTGCGGGCGAGCGTGAGTATGTCCACGAGGGAGGCCGCGCGCGCCGTCAACTGAACAGAGCGTTTCGCTGCGGGTTCAGCACGCAGAAGCCGCCGAGCCGCTGCAGCCTCAGGCGACGATGCCTCAGCACGACATAACTTCCACGGGCGGTGGCAGCCTCCAGGCCGAAGGGGATAATCCTCCATTGCGGTCCAGGAGTCGCCGATGCCGCACCCACCGCTCAGAGGATGCACGAGGGCAGCGGAGGCGGCGACGATTTTCAGGCTGCGCAACAATTCCAGAATTCCAGACTGCGCTTGCGTTGCCGAGGTCGAAGCATTGAGGGGCCTCAGCTTGGGCCCCCCCCCCGCTGCCCAAGACGAAGGAAGTCGATGTCACGGGGAGCTCCAGGATTTGGCAGCGGCAGGAAGTGCGCGACGTGGCTCAGGGTGGGGGGGCGCCCTCGCGACGTTGTCGACGGCGTTGAGCGGCGCGGGGGCAGGCGAGGCAGCCGATGCAGCAACCCTGGCGCGGCCCAGGATTGCATCGCAGTTGCAGCCGGTCCCGATCGCA